TAAGTTAAAATTTAATTTTTATTTTTTAATATAAATTTATATTAAAAAATATATTTAATATATTTTTAACCTGACAAAGTCAAAATTAAAAAAATTCATAAATAAAAGCAAGGGACCACAGAACGTGAGGACTACAGAAGAAGGAAGCTTCTGCGCAACCCTTCCTCAGCGCACGTGAATTGGCACTGCCCAAAGTGCTCATCCCCTATTGTTGCCTCTAATATCTATTCAATACCCTGCCCCTCTCCTGTCTTTCCTCACTTTCTTCAAAATCACCATCCAAATAGTCCTATTTATCACAACCCAATAATAATCTAACTTAAGTTTAACGAACTGGGTCTTTAGGCCCAATGATTCGACCCTAATTCTTGAGTGAGGTGGTCAAAGTTTCAAACTCTATTATCGTCGTTAATTTCACCAAAAAATGACATAATGATCACGCGCCTCAATTGAAGAAGTAAAATATTCACTCGATCTGAAAATCGAATATATAATTACTAATAATTAATTCATATTAACTTTTTAGCCATTACCCTTATAAAAAAAAAAAATTCAACAAAACTTTACTCAAATTATTGTAAGTTATGTTTATCATCTAGTAACTATCCCTCCTGTGAGAACGTGTTTGAACGTAAAAAAAAGTCGTGGATATGTAGTCTCTCACACAACTTTCCATAATCTCAACAATCTCGTCAAGTCAAAAAAAAAAAAAAATCATTGTAATCTATCTTTGACTTCCATAATTCATGGTATTTGCTTTTTCTCCTTTGACCTTTTGACACAGTCAAAAGGTAACCTTTGACTCAAAAGCATCAGGCCACATTGACATAGGATCCCTTAGAATTCTGAAAATGCTGATTTTGACCAGGATGACAATAATAATTCCATACAATAATTTACAATCCAAGGAAGAAAGAGAAACCTGTGGACTCTGTGCGTGAAATAATCTAATCCCACATGCAGACAAGGGTCATACTGTAATTGTAGTTACAGGCTTAAGTACAGAACTTTTCAGGGGAAAGCTTGACTCAAACCATCTTCCTGAGTCCTGACCCCACGTCCACCCAATCTCACTCGGAATTGTGTCTCTCTCTTTTTTCATCTTTCTAGATTTTACAGAATCATTACTTTGGACCCGCCAAAATATCTACCATCGTTTGAATATATTTTCAAATCACTAGTGAGCACTCAAGGAAGGGGTTTCCCTTTTCCTAGTGGAATTCTAAGGCAAGAGGAATCCATGGTATAAGTGCAACTGTTATGCCTCCACTTCCAAACTGGTCCTCTAAGAGCAGCTGACAGCAGTGTCACGCGGCGCCTTGGATTGGATTATAACCCGAGCTCCCGAAGCAAGCCTGTTGAAAGGAAACTTGTAAAATGTCAACATGCACTAATGAGTTTGAGAGTGTGATGATAATTTTGAGGACCAAATTTTGCTAGTGGGAAGGAGTCGAAACTTAACTTTCTTCAATTTTAATCACCTTCTCATCTTCTCTGAAGGAATCTATCCTTTTTGATTGCTTTTTACCTGGAACTGGAACAGGATTGCTTATGCTTTTGCTGCTACCATTACATACAGCCTGTGAGCTGTTAACCCCATCAGAGGAGTTTCTTGGTTTTTCAGGGACAGGGGATCTCATAGATTCACTTCGCAGTTGCCTGTTTATTGAGGCCTTGATTGAACGGGGAATGCATTTAGAACGTCCAGAGTTTGCCTCCTCTTTCTCTTCAGCTGAATCCAACTGCTTACAACTTCTGCAGTTCCATTTAGTTTGTTAGCAAAAGCTCCTAGTTCTCAAGAAATCAAATAATAATTCTTTCAAGATATAGATGATCCCAGCCAAAGGGAAAATGTGTATCACACAGATAATAAAGGAACCACTTTATTTCCTATATGAAACATCAAGACAGCATTATTGCAATGAGGCATCGCTTTACATGATTAAAGCCCAAATTCTAATTATGTTTTGCATTAGGGGACAAAAGTATGAGCACATGTGAGATTAAAGCCGTAGGAAGTGATGCATGGGCAAGCAGTAACTATTACACAAGCTTTTACCTTTGACAACTAGCTCTTTAATTCTTTCCAAATCTTTACACTTCTAAATAAATCAAGAAACGCCAAGATAATTAAGACGAGAAGTTCCTTTTTCATCACTGAAGCTGCCTATTCAAGTGATTTACTTTTCTAAAGTATCTCATCTTCCACATTTGTCCACAATTACGCTTTATTGTTTGGTATTAGAGTAGTTTGAGAATGTCAAAGGAACCTATAAACCAAATCCTAAGGAAGAAGCATCAGAAATAGGAAGATAAGCTCCAAAAATAGATAATGTGGATTTTTTTTTTTTTCCAAGTAAAGAGCATAGAAAGGATAAGAATCTAATATTGGAAGAGGAGATCTGAAAGACAAACTTACCTGTCTGCATTGTAGGAAGAAGAACGCTTCAGAGAGGCATGTCCATCAGCATCTTCCTTGAGCATTTTTGTCTCAATTAAGCTCCCACTGAAATATTCCTTGTCTTCTAATCTCAGGCCCATCAGCCTTGGATTCTCAGCTAAGCAATCAAGCTCCCCCAACATGATTGGAGTAGAGAACAATGGAGAGGGAAATTCTGTATGGGAAAACCTAGGCCTGTAGGCTGGAACAAGGCCAAAACTTGGATCTTTCACTGATATAGACCCACATGAGATCAATTGCATCAACATATTTGTAGCCTTGAGCCTTGCATTGGTTGTCATTCGAAGTTCTTCCTCTTCTAGAATCCTAAAACTGTTGATTTTACTAGGATCAGCTCTGATTAGAGATTCCAAGGTTTCAGTCTTCCCTCCAGAAGACAATGCACTTGACGTGGATGGGGGAGGGGCTGCTGGATTCCTGCATGTCTCAGAGTTCTCTTTCACAAATGAAACCTGTTTCTGATAATTCTGATTGCATTCCTGTTCTAATGATCCATCATCGGTTGAAACACCCCTTATACAAGTTTCCCGTGCTTTAGGCCTACGTACATTTTCTTCAGTCTGTGTGGAAGCATCTGCTAACCCATCACCCTTACAAACCTTGTACTCTGTCAAGCCTAAGGAGCCAACCCAAGAAGAATTCTTCCCACAGCTCGACTCCGAGGACACCTCAGAGGAGCCAGGCCTTTGAAGTGGAGGAGAGACCTCATCGTCCCGAGAATCCTTTGTCCTCTTCTCATTTATGCTTGAAGATGATGAAGAATCATCTCGAATCTTAGAAGAAGATGGAAGCTCAGGTAGTTGCTTCAGATTTTGCAATCTTAAATTTCCAACATGAATAAACCGATCTGTTTATAAATTTCAACATTCAGGTGAATTCTTTTCTATATAGTCTACTAAGAGTTACATCAGCTACAAAGCAATTATGATGAAAAATGTGAAATTGACCTGAACCAGAGTCTTCAAAGAGCTCAGAACCTTTGAGAACATATTCATTTCTATGAGCGGGAAAGATTAAATCGTCTTCAGAAAGATCATGCCACACGAATCCACTCTTATAGCTTCTGCATGAATCAATTAACCGGCAATAATATTAATAATTACACATTTAGAGAAAGTGATTTCAGTAGTACTTTCTATCAATTTCCGGCTGTTTCTGTGCAACCAAACAGAGAAAAAAAAAAAAAAAAAAAGCTTTCACCTTTTGCAGGACCAAGAATACATGGATGCCATTCCTCTGCCTCTAAGAACATTAAGCCTCTCGATAACGTCTTCACAGCAGAAGAAATCCCACAAAATGAATTTTAAAAATCAGAAAGAAATGCAAATTATGGAATCAATAAAAAAAAAAAAGGACTCGTTCTCACCTCTTAAGTAAAGACCATCAGATGAAGAAAGAGGAACCTCAATGAAATGAGGGTGCTCCAGCTGCCGATTTCTACAGAGGTAGTAAACAACAGAGACCTTCCTGCTCTGCTGTTGATAATACTTGGGCGATCTCTCTGTCCAAACTTTCGTCCTCTCTGGACTAACCTGCCTGTACTTGGTCATCCTGGCTTCCATTTCCGACCCAACCCCAACTAAAAAAAAAAAAATCACTAAATTAACTTCCCAGTACAGCTTATCTTGAACCAGTTCCCACTTAAGCCAAACTGAGAAGTACAATGAAAATGGGAAAGATGGAGACGCCGGAAGGAAGGAACAGAAAGAGAATGTATTTTTGTGGGAAAATGAAACGACGATCCACGGAGGAGACGGTAGTCAGGGAAAGTGAGAAAGGGGAGAGCTAGATTACAGAGGGGAAGACAAGTTGCAGAGAAAGAGAGGAGTGTTTGGGTTGACGCCGTGACGGTGACAGACAGAACGGAGGGGGAAAAAGGTAAAGGGGAGGGAAGGAAAAATCTCCGCTTGTTTGGATGCTTCGATGGACCTCGCGTTTACTCTCTCTGGGTCTGGGGAGTTCGTGTGTTTTGCGCCCTTGCCTCGTGTTTAATTATTCTTAATCATATTAATTTTTTAATAATATATTTAAGGGTAAACTTTTAAAAAGACAAAAAGTTTATAGATAATAATTAATATTTGCGAACCGAACCCG